GCTATACGAATGGAAAAAAATCCACTAACATATATCGAAGTAAAATTCATAAACATTTTTCTTAATTCGATTACATAATATATCGAAACTTCTTTTTAAATAACTGATCATAATATTTCGTAGCTTATATTTCCTAAGACCGATTTGGGGCAATTGGAATTTAAAAAACAAGAGGAGCCGTAAGTTAAAGCCAACCTACCCTTTTTGTTTGCAATATATTAGAAATAGTTTATAATAATTTGGTTTATGCATTTGTATGATAGGTCTCATGAGGCTCAAGTTGAGCAATGGATCGAAAACCTTTTGAGTTTGCTTCTTGAAGAAGGCAAATTACATTTAATCGAATGGCTTCAAGAAGTATAATTACGTTCGATAGTATATTCATATTGCCATATAAAAATAAATATAATAAATTAAACTATTGCTCTAGGTTTTACGCAAATTTGCTGAAGAGAATCAAGCTATTGAAAATGGAGAAGAGAAGCACGCGCACAAGCGTTTAAAAAAAAAAAAAAAAAATGAAGAGGATGCTACAATGAAATCACATGATAGTTCCAAAAATCACGGTATATATTCATATTTTAATTTTTATATTTAATTTTGAACAATTATTAGCATATATTAATATTTTATTTAATTGTGTAGTGATTATAGCTGATAATGCGGAGCAATGGGACGCGTTAGCCCATGATGAACACTTCACGGCGCTTCTTAGTGTACTCGAGTTTAGAAAAATTGTTGGTTTGTGTTTGCATCTTGATTTGAAACGTTATAAATATTATTTTATACATAACAAATATCATAATTAAATCTTTCATTGATAGATGAAGATAATGTGCAGTGGATAATTACCGAATCCTCTTCGAGCGCTAATCTTTTTAACTTGATCGACAAGATAGATATGAAACTTAAAATTATTGATTTAAGAAAGAAGATGGAGGAAAAAGAAGAAGAACGTGATCTTAAAAAGAGAAAAAGAGAAGAGGAAGAATAAAGGTGTGTATAGTTGCTACCAAACCTTTTTTTTGAATTATAACATTAATGCATAGATTGGGTTTGAGAATCAGATTTTCTATTTCATCTGGTATAATAAATAGAACCAAGTACATGTCCATTTTCAATTAATAGTAATCTATAAATTATTAAAATTTCGTTATCTTTATTTAAATTAAGAAAATCAAAACCTAAAAGTGATTTAGAAACTAAGCTGGTATGAAAGTAATACGTAGTTAAGTTTAATAACTACAATAAGTGAAAGAATAATTATTAATATGAAACTTTTTACATCCAAATTAAGAATCCCGAATCATTTATATAGTTTCCCATCTTCCACTACTGATCAGCCTGTAATTGTTAATTGAAAAATGGATTATTCGTTACATAGCCAGAGTCATATTCCAATTTCTACTTTCAAACCACGATCAGATAGTAATTGAAAAGAATTCTTAACAGAAACTTGTAAGGCTGATTATTTGAACAAACATAAAATTAGACTAGCTATTTACAATGTTATAAGGCTTATGTAAGCAATAATAACCTTATCAAATTGGGTCGTGCTTTTGACAACTTTCATAACGATAAATCCTGAAATTTTCCGATAGCCGAATCGATAAGTTACCCACACCAGAAACTTATCGATTCGGTTAAAGCAATTTTTTTAGTTGTCTCAGAGTCAGTAAAAGTCCGAGTCTTTATTATAGATGCAGGTTTATTACATCACTAGTTACGGCCTTATTTTATAAACCGGTTTTTATATAGGACGTAACTAAGTGCAGAAGTGATGTCATAAGTCTGTATCTATCTCGTATCTGTGCAAGATCAGGTGTAACCCGAATTTTAAGAAAGAATTCAAAATAATACACGATTTTCTCCAATCAAGT